TCGCCTCAGCGTGGGCAGCGTGTACCGGCCCACTCAGAATGGCCGTGGTGAGTACTGCGCCCTCGACGGGCGCCCCGGCCCCCCTGTCCCGGCGTGTCCCGGGTCTCCTGTGAGCTGCTTCAGGTGCCCAGCCCCCACCTCTGTCCTTTACCAAAGGCGCCCCCGAACTGTAAGCAAGGACCCCCACCTACCCCCATCCTTCCCTCCAGCCAACACTGGCATCCCACTTCCCTGATGCCGGGGATTGGCCCGGCCTGGGTGGGCTCCGACCCTGGCCTTGGTGGAGGGGCCGGCCGGCTTTGTAAGAGGCTGGCCCCTGACCAAGACCTTTCTTGGGTCATTTGGGGACAAAGGGAAGACGCCTTTCTGCCTTCCTTTTCTCATGCCAATCAGGGCACCTCCTGCCGCCCTTAGAGATGCCCCTGTGCCAGCTCACAGCGTGAGGCAGGCAGCCTTAGAAACCTGGATCCTGGGCCTTAGGGGGTACCTCTGAATATGTGGTGAGTTCCCGAGTTTCCAGTCACTAGGCACATGTGAACTTGGTCTGAGTGAGCAGAAGGTGAGGGGGAGTCTCTGGGTCAGGTAGGAGTTCAGACTGGAGACCAGAGCTCCCAAGGGGTGTCTGCAAGGCTGGCACCAGAAAGATGGGAGATTTTTAAGGGGGTGCTAAGAACTCCGTAACCGAGTTAAGTAATATTGCAATGTACCTTTTAAAAATCAAAATTAATGCAAAAAAATATGTGACCAACAAAATATCCATGTTTTTAATAGAGAGTATCGGTGCTGTGCCGGCCACACGGGAGCCTGAGGCAAGCTGAAAAGTTAACAATGTGGATTCTGCCTTTATTTGAAATTTGGATAGTTGGTTCATCACAGGTTTTTTGCATTACTGCTGATTGTTAAAAATATTGCAGTCAAGCCGGGCTCAGTGGCTCAGCCTGTAATCCCGCGCCTTGGGAGGCTGAGGTGAGTGGATTGCCTGAGCCCGTGGGTTCGAGACCCTCCTGGGCAACTTGGCGAGACCTCATCTCTACAAT